AACCGATTGGCTCCTTACGCTGGAAACAATGATGACCAAATAAACCATGCTAGAGTAAGACGAGTTAATCCTCCGCAAGACGAGTTGTTTTTTGAAGACTTCATGTATTTATATTCGAGCGGTAAAAAAGCTCGCTTTGGTGTCACTCGAGAAGAACAACAAGATCTGTTCACGGTTTCGGCCGATTACTCCTTGCCTCACTGTGTTGCAGAAGACCTAAGGATGTCCAGGGGAATAGCGGTTGTTTTTAAAAACAAGTTTGGACGGATCGACGAGCTACGAAGGCAGAATCCCAAAGTTGGAGAGGTGCTTGAAATTGTGAATAATGAGCAGATAAGCAATAGAAGTATCTTCTATCTGGTAACGAAGCAGCTCTCCCATCAGAAGCCAAACTACCGTGACGTATGGAATGCCTTAAATAAATTGAGGGATGCCCTTTTATCCAAGGACATCATGAATCTGGCGATACCGAAGATTGCTTGTGGACTTGACGGTTTAGACTGGAGAATAATTAGAAGTATGGTGGAAGTTATCTTCAGATTTAGTGGCATACACATTCTTGTCTGTTGCCACAACCCTAAAAGAACAACCGGAAGGAAGACCGTAGACTGCTACTTCTATAGGACGTCACAATGCAAGTTTGGATCTCTATGCAAATATCGCCATGGAGCTGAGGACCATTTTCGGGACGAAAATGTTTTAAGACGGGGGCAATGTAGCGAGTACCGCCCTGGATATCGGAGTGATGACTCATCGCCGATTAGTCATTGCCGGTGAGTCATCGCCGGTGACTCAGCGCTCGAATAATCGAGAGTGTGGAGCTCGCTGGAATGTTCCAGAATACTTAGGCGCTGAATATATAAGAAACGGAGCAACACAGAGCAGTCAGTTAAGATTTGGTACTCGCGGCGAAATAAATAAATATAAGTGCAAATAAATAAACTAGTAGTGATATAAATAATTAGTAGTTAAGTGTTTAGTTAGTTTTATAGTGTTTTAAGTGTAGTTAAGTTATTAAATAAATAGTTTAGTTCGTTAATTAACCAGTGCGTGTTTTAATTCACACTACGAACAGTTAAAAACGTTACAATATGTTACCGAAATAGGGAAAATATGATTATTACACAAATAGGGATGATGGACAAGTTTATATAAAGCCAACTGGTAATTATTTTAAAAACCTAAATTGAAGGACCGATGTTGCGGAATAAAATAAAAATCTTAAAAGCTTTACATTTTAAAGTTAATGAAATGATTTATTTTCTTGTTATTAAATTAAATTAAAAATTAATATTTGTCATAAAAATGTAGTATCTACTAAAAGAGGCAAATGATGAAAATGACAAATCTTCGTGACCAGTGGCGGAACTTAAAAATTTGCCCCCCACGCAAAATTCAATATGGGCCCCTTCCAACAACCTATACCTGGTGCGCAAAATACCTTGCCGGCGAAAAACCCCAGCGGCGAAAATAAATTAGGCAACGTTGCGATGAAGGTTAAATATTCACCTATATTCTTTGTTTCAACAGCAGAATATGCTTAATATCGGTAACATCGGTATCCCTGTAATAAGTGATAGCTTCTTATTATATATATAGATGTCGCCACACTATTGGCAGCCCACATACTTCCACACATATACGGCTTATTGCCTATATTTTGTATAGATGACCTTGTTCCCGTTTCTGAGGGAAAAATTGTTGTTTTGGTGTGCATAGTCAGTTCATAAGTGGGGGATTTAAAATATTTGATACCATAGACATCACATAACATAAGAGAAATTAAGACGTCCACGTGTGATACGAATTGTCAACTAAATAGAATTTAGGTTATATCAAATTTTTGTAAATCATTTGCTTACATAGCCTGGGTTATAGACCAGTGCCGAAGCCTTTAAAAATGGTAAAAAGTGAACAAAAGTTACAGTAGGATGAAACCCATTGGAAAAGGAGGAGAATATAATAAAAAAGAAAGGAAAAATAAATTACGGGCGATCTGAGTTCGGGAAGTGGGGGGGTGAGGTTTTAAGGGTTAAAAATGGTTTATCTCGATTTCCGGCAAAACTACAAGTCCTATGGAAAAAAGTTAAATGGCAAAGTTGTAGGTAATAAAAAGATCTACAACTTTTGTATTTACAATTTTTTCACATAACCTCAAAATTTATGTAAAAAATTCAAATAACCAAGTTTTTGGTTTTTTATTTTTCTTTTTCAAAAAAAATTTTTTTTCCACGAAATTTGGTGAAAACTTACCTTTTTATGTCCCAAATAGGTACACTGTAATTTATTTGATTTGAAATATTTATTATTTCACCTTATTTTGACTTAATATAAAAAAACACCCCAATTTTCAATCGAAAATTCTCGCGTCAAAATATCGGCTTTTTTCTATAAGTCGGTGTGCTTTTTGTTCGTTAAAATCTCTACTTTCTGATGGTGTAAAAAAAATATACATTACTATAGTAAATGTTCTCAGAAAATGCAAAAAATCGAAAAAAACTCGAATTTAAAATTTTTCTTTAATCATTATGTACAATTTTGAGCTATTTATTAAAATTTACACTTTAATTACTCAAAAAACGTAAGATTCCATGTTACATTGATAAACGAAAAAATTGCATATCGAAATATACTACTATAATTAACAAACAAATAAGTTAATAAATTTAATATTTAATAAGAGATCTACAATATTTTGAGAAAGTTGTAAAAATCTTCTTATTTCATTTTTTCTAAAAGCTTTACATAATAAATAATAGTGTTAATATATAATATTGTAATGATAAAATTATTATAATAATTTTATATTATAATATTATTTTCTGTAAAAAGGATTTTTTAAAAGTAAAATTATGTTAAGTTGTTAATTCTCACTTTTATTAAAACGTGTATATTTTTTAAGAAAAATTCAAATTTTCCCAAAAAAGCCAATTTTTCCAAGGCCTGGGAAAAAAACGGAAAAAACAGGTTTTTTTATACGAGTTGCATGGCAACCAATTGGTTGCTATGAGAAAAATAATTGTCAATGTTGACGTTTCTAATTTTAAAATAAAAATGTCAAAAAATATGCGTTTTGGACAAAAAAATCATACAGAAATTGTAAGTTGGGTGAGTTTTTGTAGTTCCATATGGATATTTTAATGCTTAAATAAATATTTAAATAGAACATTTGTTGTACCTAAAACATTATTCGTGAAATAGTCTAGCCGAATACCACTCGTGATAAAATTTTCCCTGAAATTTTTTTTTTTTATTTACTCATGATTTTTCCTTGTAAATTTCTCTCGTGGCATTAATTTAAAACCACTCGCCTGGCGGCTCGTGGTCTCAAAAATTAATGCCACTTGCGAAATTTCCAAGAAAAAAACATTCGTATAAAAATCAAAAATTTTATGGGTAAAATTTTACCACTAGTGGTATTATATACGAGAAAACTTTAAAGGCATTATAACTTTGATTTTATCTCTTCAGATTATCAGTATGGATGAATCTGTTTGTATAATCTGCAATAAATCAGATGATAAGCAAGTGTATGAAATAAAAAAGCTTTGAATCGTTTAGTGGCGTCTAGCAAGAAAAGAATCGACAATAAATACAAAAAATTTGAAACTTTGACATCAGCTTTTATTCATCGAACTTGTCAAAGTCAATATAATGATGAGACTGCAATAGCTACATTCTGTAGTTCAAGACATAGGAAATCAAAGGAAGGAAAAGAAATAAATAAAGACGCTCTTACATTTAATTTTGAATCTCATTGCTTTCTCTGCGGTGGGTTTTTCGGTAATATTGCAAAAGAAAAAATTTCATCTGTTTAAAGTAACGATACAAGAGATAATATATTACAGCATATTCAAAAACACATTAAATGATTTCGATAAAAACATTTCAGCTCGTTTGAGAAATGTGTCTTATTTAGTCGCAGTAAAAGCTCATTATCACACTATTTGTATGGCTAATTTTTATAACAAAAGAACTGAAAGAAAAAGGGGTCGCTCAGTATGTGAAAACACTAAGAATTTTATTAATTATCTTATTAATTATATCGTTGACAACAAAACAGAATGTCAATTTTCTGTCAATGAAATAAAAGAGGGATTTTCAGGAGATCTCTCAGACTACACAACTATTAAGGATTATCAAGGACCCTGCTAATCATACGTTTTCTCCAGATTCATACGTTCAATTTATTTATGATAATGCAGATCATAATACATGCACTATTGATAGCAAGAACACTTTCCATGCAATGGGTGGAATAATGGTTGTTACTCCGGCGTCTAGTGTTATTTCAAAGAAAATCATCTCCAGATTAGAACAGATTCCATCTTCTGAAGATATAGGCGAAATTGGATTTGTGAAATTGAAACGTTTTGAAAACAAAAATTCCGATGGATTAAAAACAGTTCAGATAGCAGATATTTTAGATGTTACGGACAACTATGAAATTTCTTCGGCAGATTTTAAATGGTCTTATTCAAAATTTGCAAACAACAAATCCGATGGTTGGAATGGGTTCATGGAGAATGTTGACTTATTTTTTGCTGCCGCCCTTTGAAATTTTAGTTTTAGCTCTAAAAAAATAATCCAACGTAAACCAGCTTTTTTTTATAATTTAAACCGTGTCGGAATCATGATACTTTTCCCATTTAAATAACATGGTATTTTCTGACCTTTTGCATTTAATTTTTATCTCCAAAGCAAATGAACCTACAGCTTCGACAATGAAATATTCTTATACAAAATTACGCTCTACAAAAAAGGTTTCTTTGGTTTTTTCCATAAAAACATTATTTTAAAAGTTATTCGCGGTCAAACTTATGCACATAGTTTAAAATCAAATTTTTCTATCATTCACAGCAAATTATGCCATCTTTTTGTAAATATGTGTGTCAATTGAAAAGAATAAACAAATTTCGAGTGGTTTTTATCTTAAATATTACTTATATCGAATCAATTAAATTAATTTAATTATTTAAATTGAAATTAATTGATTAAAAATGAATCAATCGATGACTTTACGTGATCCAATCTTTCTTTTGGGTGAAACGAGTGACACGATTAGCGGTCATAAATTACCAACGAATAAACAAGTCTTGAAATTATTATATTGGCATACCAGACAACAAAAAAAAAACATTTGCAGCCAGTTGATAGTGGGACCGCAGATTTTTTACAAGATCAAAGGACAGAAAGAAAGTATAACTTACGTTTTTTTAAGCAAAATAATGATTCTTTTGAGTCACCTGGTAAGTTAATGATTAATAAATATAATTATTGAAAATGAAAATTGTTTGCAGACTACTAATTTTGTTATTAAATTTAGAAACACCTGTTTTTGAGGAAGATATTGATTTCACTACATTTCAATCTATTGATAAAACTCCATCAACATCTGATAATGTCGAATCAACACTTTTGGATCAACATCGTACCTGAATCTTCAGGTAATTAATCTAAGTTTTTGATAATACCTCTCGATAAATTTAATTATTTCTTGTATCAAAATTCTATTTTATGATAAGTGTAATAAGTAACGGATTTAATGAAACAAAATTCACTAAAACTATTTTTTTGTACTTAATCTTTAGACATAACTTTACCGGAGCTCCCATTAAGTGGAGAAACATCGATGTCAATGTCTCAGCAAAGCGCAGCTTCAATGTTTGAAGCACAGGGGCGAAATTATGAAACGAAACGTGAGAGAGGGACAATAAATATTCTGACGGAACATGTTGTTGCTACTCTCGACAACTGTAAGATTTCTTATAGAAATTCCTTTACAATAATATTAGCTGTCGCGATGGCCCTAGGAGTAGACTCTGATAGTTTGATTCTCAACAAGACTTCGTTTAATGAACGTAGGTCGAAAATTCGGAAGGACGCGGCTGAACGGATGAAGAAGTTATTCGGTGACACTGAAGTTGGAGTTGCGGTGGTTCACTGGGATGGAAAATTAATACCTGATGGACTATCTTGTAAAAAGGTTGACCGCGTGCCTATAATAATTCGAAGCAAGACTGTTGAAAAAATATTAAACGTACCGGCATTACCGGATGGAAAAGGAGTTACTCAGGCTCAGGAAATGTTTAAGAGTGTTCAAGAATGGGGATTATCTGACAATATTCAAGCACTTTGTTGCGACACAACTGCTTCAAATCTTGGTTGTCGCAACGAGGCGGCTATTAATTTGGACCAACTGTTACAAAAAGATCTTCTGTATTTACCTTGTAGACATCATATCTACGAATTGGTCTTAAATTGTGTTTTTTTTTACCAAAATTCCGGGAACAGATGGGCCAAACGTTGCTCTATTTAATAAATTTCAAGAAAATTGGAATTTAGTTGATCAAACTAAATATATAAATGGTTTAACAAGAAATAAAATTCCTAAAAAATTATTAACAAAAGTTGTAAAAACAAATGAGACTATCAAAAACTTTTTAAGTGAAATTTTACCTCGCGATGATTATAAAGAGCTTTTGGAGTTGTGTCAAATTTTTCTCGGTACGATGGAAGCTGATAAGGTGAAATTTTATAAACCAGGAGCATTTCACCATGCTCGCTGGATGTCAAAAGCGATTTATTCGCTGAAAATATACGTTTTCCGGGACATTTATGAGGTAGATCTTGCAATACAACAAAGTCTTTTGGATATTTGTTTATTCATAGTCTTTGTTTACGTGCCATTTTGGTTTACGACACCTCTTGCAGCATCAGCTCCGTATCAAGACTTGAATTTTTTAAAAACTGTACATCAATACAAAACTATTGATAAGGGACTCTCTGAAGCAGTCTTGCACAAATTCAAAAATCATTTGTGGTATTTGAATGCTGAAACTGCTGCATTGGCCTTTTTTAAACCAAATATACCACTTCCCATAAAGCATAAAATGGTTGAAGCATTAAAATGCCATGAAGATATGGATTTTAATTCCCCTAAATGCAGTGAACTCAGACAGTGAAATTATTAGCTTACAGAAAAAAGATATTGAATTTTTTATTAATTCTAATTCGAGTAATTTTTTTGATCGATTTAACATAAACAAAATTTTTTTAAAGTTAGATGTTGAAACATGGTCAACTAATAATGATTAATTGGAAGGTTTGAATATTGTGAATAATCTGCAAGTTGTTAATGATGTAGCTGAAAGAGCAGTTCAGTTGACTCAAGATTATATCAACATTTTGACTACTAAAGAAGACCAAAAACAGTATTTAGTACAAGTTGTACAAGAATACAAGAATACTTACCCTAATGCTACAAAAAGTTGCTTAACAAAGAAACGTGAATGAAAAAAGACAAAAAAACCTAATAATACATCGTAAGATAAGTAGTAATGCATTTTTTCCCTTATTGTAACTGATAATCTTGTTCAATAAAATTTTTATAACAATTATAAATGAGTTTATTGATTGTATCATAAAAAACTTCAAGAAAACCTAATTAATTATGATACAAACTATGTGCATAACTTTAATAGCGAATAACTTTTAAAGAAATGTTTTTATGGAAAAACCAAGGAGACTTTTTTTGTAGAGCGTAAAATTTTGTATTAGAATATGTCTTTTTCGAAGCTGTAGGTGTATTTTATTTGGAGATAAAAAATTAAATGCAAAAGGTCAGAAAATCCCATGTTATTTAAATGGGAAAAGTATCATGATTCCGGCACGGTTCAAATTAAAAATTAAGAGCTTATTTACGTTGGATCATTTTTTTAGAGCTAAAACTTTAATTTCAGAGGGCGGCAGCAAAAAAAAAAAAGTTGGGAAATAACGTACACCCTAATGGAGAAGTTACACACTAATTTGACTTATCGTACATCCAAAATTATTCCTATGGCGTTTATAAAAAATCCACCGAGTGATTATGATACCATTTTTACATCGTTGGTAGAAGCGGCTAAACAATGCCAAAAACAAAACCAAAATATTGTTTTCGTAACGTTTGACCAACCTCTATACCACAAAGCTCGTGAAATCTTAGCCAGTATTGATTTAAATAATGATCCCTACAATTTATCCTCAATCCAAGTAAGACTTGGGGGATTTCATTTATTGATGTCGTTCCTCGGAGCGATTGGATTCATCATGGATGGTAGTGGACTTAAGGAGGCTTTTTGTGAAATATATGCCGAAAATTCGTCCGACAAAGCTCTTACCGGGCACGCATATGCACGAGCTATCAGAGGACATTATCTAGTACAGCTCGCCTTGTCTGAAATCATTTTTTCATCGATGGAGTTGTCGGACACTGAAAAGGGGCTAATGGATACACTTTTTCAGGATGTAGGAACAGAAAATTTTGAAGACAATTGGCATCACGAAGATTTTAAGATCATAAAAGAAAAATTTATTGAGCATCTAAATTTAGTACAAAAAAGAGGTCCTACCGCAAAACTTTGGATGCAGTACTGGCAAATGATCTCATTGGTTAAAGATTTTATACGGGCTGAACGTACAGGTAATTGGGAATTACATTTAAAATGCGTGGAAAGAATGCTTCCCTATTTTCATGCAAGTGGGCACTTTTTATACGCAAAATCTGCTCATCTCCAAGATATACGTAAGCTTAAATACACAATAAATAATGATTATGAATTTACGAGATTCACCGAAGGATTCTTTACAATTAGACGTACTCACAAGTTTTGGTCGGGAGTTTGGACGGATATGACGATCGAACAAGTTTTGATGAGATCTATGAAAACTCAGGGTGGACTTACACATGGTCGTGGTTTGTCTGAAAGTGTTTTAACAAAATTCGTATTAACAATGATCATACTTGTCGAAGTTTGCAATGAAATAGAAGATTTTTGTAATGTTTCTTTTGCAACTACAGAGCAACACATTGATTCAAGGGAATATAGAATAATAAGAGATGTAGCTGATTTACAAATATTACAAACATTTTTCAACAGGTATGATCCTTTTCCACAGACTGATAACATTATGTCAATATTTTCTGGAATTTTTGCCAGTAATTCTGTAAATTGCCACGAAGCGTATGAAGAAGGAAAAAAATCTTTGCAAGCTATTGTTGGAATTAATTTTGGCAGTGTAAAAATTAAAAGGAAAAACAAAGTCTTGTCTCTACAAACGGTTCAATCTTCGGTTAAAGTAAACGGAGATATTATAGCCATCTATCCATTATTGCTATTTCAAAGGATATCATTAACGATCGACAGTAAAAAAGATATGGAAACTTATTTACAATACGAGCTTGCACCTTTTCCATTGTCACTTTTTACAGAAAATGGCCTCAGGAAAAATGTGAAATCTCAACTCTACGAATTATTTGTGAGTATGAATGGACCAACGCATTCTGACGGGATAGTGCATGTCGTCGACGGTGGATTTTTACTGCACAAAGTAATTTGGCAGAAAAATGAAACGGTGGAAGAGATCATGAATAAATATTTGCGCAATGTAGAAAAACATTACGTAGCAAGCAGCTATATTGTCTTTGATGGTTACCCCGAAATTAAAAAGTCAGTTACTGCCACAACAGTACCAGCAGCTACTTCAACTAAAAGAGGAGAACGTAGTCTTAGAAAAACCTCAGACAATATTCCAGAGTTCGATTATCAAAACCATACAAAAATACCATTTTTGCAAGAAAATTTTTTATCTAACGATAATCAAAACTTTATTGAAAAGATTACAGTCACAAGGATTTTCCTGTAAACAAGTAGAGGAAGATGCTGATGCTAATAATTAAGACCTCGATAGAAATTGCCAGAGATAGGTACTAATAAAACTGTCATTATTGTGGGTTAAATTCCAATAATCCTGACATTTATTTTCTCAAACCAGGTTCTGGAAATGTAAAAGATCTATTTTTCACGTCTAATAGTTTCAAACATGAATCCTTCAAAAAAAATTGTTGCATTTCTGCATTGTTTTTCTGGTTGCGATACAACATCTGGATTTGCCGGAAAAGGAAAGAAAAGTATCGTAAATTCATTATTAGACGCTAAAAATTTGTCAAATTTAGCCAACGTTTTTTATAAGAAAGATTCAAGTAAAGAAATTATAAAAAAATGGATTACAATTAATCAAATCTATTTATAAATGTAAAAATGAAAAAATAACACTAAATCAATTAAGATTTCAAAAATATCAATTGGCAAAAATTAAATAATGTTTCATTTTGGCAAACCTCCCACCCACAGAAGGATCAGCAGAACAACATTTTTACAGGGCATATTATCAGCTTCAAACTTGGTTGGGTAACGAACTGACAGCAACAGATTGGGGCTGGAAGCAACATCAACGTGGCATAATGCCCAAATTTACAGAAAATAAATTAATTCCGGAAATGTTGCACAAAACTATTTGCTGCAGCTGTGAAAGTGGATGTAAGAGTTTAAAATGTGGCTGCCGAAAACATGGTTTAAAATGCACAAATTTATATTCAAATTGTCATGGTTCTGAAAATTGCTCCAATATGGAAGAAAAAACCTACGAGGAAGTTAATGAGTCAGATGAAATTGTGGATGAAGAACCAATGCAGACTAAAGGCGGCTGCACAGTTACTCGGGAACGGAAACGAAAATGAGAACGGTAACGAGAAAAAAATTAAACGCACATAAGTCAATGTACACATGCACAACAAATTTTCGGTAACGAGAACGAGAAACATCCCGCGAACGGAAACGAGAAAGTTGGTTAAGTTTTAAGTTTCTCGTTCCCGGTAGCGAATAGAAACGCAGCATTGTCGAAACCAATAGAAAATGAGTTTAATCTGTCAAATTATTTCTGACATTCGCGCTATTTGTTTTATCAATACGTTCTGTGTTAATAAATTAATGAAAATGAACGACGAATTAATTATTTTATTAGTAAAAAAGTTCCCACATCTGTACGATCGCCTGTTAAAAGAGTATAAAGATTAATTATTAAAGAAAAATAGTTAGCTTTTAATAGCTGAACATCTGCAGTATGATCGTACGTATATATCTATTATAAATACCAAATAAATTAAATATCCCCAAAATATATTAACCTAAGAATTAAAATAATTATGTTAATTGTGAATCTTGTGAATCTTCTCGTTTTCGTTTTAGTTTCCGTTCTTGTTTTCGTTAGCGTTCCCGTGTAATTGTGCAGCCGCCTTAAAAATAATATTGGAGACGAAGAAGGTGATGGTCTTAAAGATTTAGAAGATCAACTAGAGTTGGTAAGTTTTGTCGAATCTAACGATAAAGAAATTCCGTCAAAGAGACAAAAACTATGAATGAAGTATCTAAATTCAATATTCATGAGATTTTCTGACATGAATGTAATTAGAATTTAACAAATAAACTTTTTAACTGAAAAAAATTGCAGCAATCACATTTTTTTATGAAATTGTACATAATGATTAAAAAAAAATTTTGAATTCGAGTTTTTTTTTGATTTTTTGCATTTTCTGAGAACATTTACTATAGTAATGTATATTTTTTTACACCATCAGAAAGTAGAGATTTTAACGAACAAAAAGCACACCGATTTTTTGAAAAAAGCTGATATTTTGACGCGAGAATTTTCGATTGAAAATTAGGGTGCTTTTTGATATTAAGTCAAAATAAGGCGAAAAAATAAATATTTCAAATCAAATAAATTACAGTGTATTTGGGACATAAAAAGGTAAGTTTAGAATTTAATAAATAAACTTAGCCGCATACCCAAACACAGAACATACCCACAATTAACTATTTCTATGCAATAAACTGTGTTTCACTGAGTGACACTCACTACACAGAAGTTCTATGACAGAACATAAGCTCACTACAAAGAAGGTAACTGTAAAGAAAGTTACTGTTACAGCAGGGCTGGATGCTCCCGTGTACGAGTTTTGGTTCGTCCCGCGCATGACGTCACTTGATGAGTAGTTGCCGCCCGAATAATAGTAATATTATCAACGCTGTTGCTAGTACACCGCGCGCAGTGTACTATTCTACACCGCCAATTACGTCATAATTATAATCCGTTTTTGTTCCCCGAGCGTTTAATATTTGACAACAAGCTAGATGGATCAGATGGTAGGGCGGGCGCTTTATACCTTTATACCTTTTTATAGTTAGGCTGATTAAAAATTTATAATGTATTATTGTTAAATAAATTACTTTGGAATTTGGAATTTGGCGCTTGGCATGCGAGAGGTCCCGGGTTCGATACTAAGAAATTTTTATTTTTTTATTTCATAAATTTGTTGTTTCTTTGTTAAACAGTGTTCGGTTGGGTTGGGTTGGGTTGGTTGGTTTGTTTTAGTTTTATCGTAACATAAAATCTAATAGAAGTTGTCGAACTTTTTTTATTTCATAAATTTGTTGTTACTTTGTTAAAGTGTTTTATTTTTATCGTAACATAAATTTGCCCATTTTTGTTGGGTTTTTTTGCTCAATGGGGCGGGGGGGGCAATGGGGCAGGGTCGGTTGTGTTGTTGAGTTTGTGTTGGATTGGGTTTATGAGGTAATATATAATTTGGCGGTGCAGAATAGTACACCGCACGCGGTGCACTAGCAACAGCGTATTATCAAAGAAAATAGAGAAATTTCTGGACATAGTGCGTTTTTATTAAACTTAATATTGAAGAAAGTGTTATAATATGGATAATAGATGCTTTCAGTCCTTGATAACATTTAGGGCTGTAGTTTAAGAGTTGGTGTTTTAAATTAAACTTATAGTCACTGTCCAGAAAATGTTTATAGGAAACAGAAGCGGTCTTAACGTAAATATTGTCTAGTATTTTTGTGGCATTTAAACACTGTTTCCACAAATCAAACTTTTTCGGGAATCGATTAAATTTAATGTTTTTATTTAAAGGGTTTTTCTTGGACTGGTTGTTCGAATTGCATCCAATTGCATGCCACACCGCATTTTAATAAATGCAAATGGCACTATACAATCTAAAACACAAACAAAACAAGTTAACGCAACACAAAAACAATAATAAACAAACCTAACAGGTTAACCTAACGCAATAACAATAATTTGAACGCTGAAAAGTAATTCAAACCTTACCGAACACAAAAACGACAAGTTAAACAAAAAGTAGAGCAAGTTAACATCCAAAAGCATCGCAAAAACAAGAATTTTAGCAGCAGATAATTAAAAAGCACGTTAAAGATTTAAAAACACTCATCAAGTGACGTAAATCAGAAAAATGTACAGTTTGGTGCGGTTTACACGCTGGTGGCTTGATTGGACTTTATTTCTTTAAAAATGATGCTGGACTTAACGTAACGGTCAATGGGGAACGATACCGGACCATGATAAACGAATATTTCTTTCAAAATATGAATGGCATTGATTCGGACGAGATGTGGATGCAGCAGGAGGCGCTACGTGCCATATGGCAAACGAAGTTTCGTTAACTATTGAATTATTGCAAACCAGATTTGGTGATAAATTAATTTCAAGAAATGGTCCTGTCAACTGGCCACCCAGGTCTTGCGATTTGACGCCTCTCGATTATTTTTTACGGGGCTACGTGAAGTCATTGGTTTATGCTAATAATCCAGCAACAGTGGAAGCCTTGGAAGCTAACATTGTTCGTGTGATTCAAGGCATACGGCCACCATTGCTCGAAAGAGTGACCCAAAATTGGACTGACAGAATGCGCTTCGTCAGGAACAGCCGTGGTGGCCATATGCCTCAAATCATTTTTAAATATTAATGCCATGTGTTGATCTTTTAAATAAAAATAGATTTTTTGTTAAAAGTTAATTATTGTGGTTTTTATTCAAGTTTAAAGTTCTATCGTTCTTAAAAAAACACCCTTTATAATGTTCATATAAACTTTTCAAATATTGGCGTTGAGAAACCATTTAATACTTTTGTATTTTTGAGGTTTAAGGTTGTTAATTTATTTTTTGCATGTTTTTGTTATGCTCTTTATTTATTGTTTTAGGTTGACTTCTATTTATGTTTTTTTATTTCACTCTTTTCTATTATTTTGACTTTTACTCTTTTTTCTGTAAACTTATTTTTTTGTTTAAAGAGCTATAGATATACAAGGTATACAAGGTCGTTTAAATTAGAGAAAAGTTAAGTAATTACAAGCCTATTAAAATAAAATTTATAAATAAACAAAAGCCTTTCAAAACCAAAAATCGTAATATCTTCGTTATTTCTGGGAAGAAGAAGATTTCTTTTTCAATTTTAAATTACCATTTTAATAGACAAATAAGTTTTCTAATTTAACCGACCTTGAGGTTAAATAAAAAATATAAGCATACATAGAAGAATACTTGGTGCACCCTGTATACTTTACCTGTATTACATGTTTATTAAATTTTATTATCAAAATATTCAGTATCTCCCCGGATTGAGTTTAAGAATTACATTTATTTTTGGGTTTTCGAAGAAAAGTCTCTCTTGTTTTGAAGTTTTGATCGTCGAAAAAATAACATTGACATAAAATTGGAAAAACATTAAATCGATTTAAAAGAGGATCTAGGTATCTTTATTTTAATTTGTAATTAAAAACAAAATCTGAATACAAAAATAATGGCCAAAAACAAAACTGTAATGATGCCCCAGCCTCAATATTTGCCAGACATGCCTTTGTCTGACTTTTTTCTATTCCCAAAAATAAAGAGAACCCTAAAGGGCCGTCGTTTTGCAAGCATAGAAGACATTAAAAGCGGATCGCTGAAAGAACTAAAGGCTATTTCAAAGATCGAGTTTTAAAAGTGTTT